AAGTCAGTTTGAGTGGCAAGGTCAGTTCAAACTTACCAGTTGCTCCTCAGAAACTCTATACAGGGTTGCTGTGAGTCATAACCGACTATATGGTGCTTAACAACAACAACAGTAATTTAGGGTTAACAGATTACTCCTGAAGTTTAGGAAGCTAAATTCAATAGGGAAATATGTACATTTCTAGTTTTACAATGTTATTGGCCTATGTTTTATAGAACCAATGATAAAGACCCTTTTTCTGTGAGAGAGTAATTTTTTCTTCTAGTTTCATGACATTTAAATTTGATTCTTTAATCTCTGTAGACCTCTTGTCTGAATGAAAGGAAGGAGCTCTGGTAGTGTAGTGGTTACGAATCGGGCTGCGAACCTTAAGGTCAGCGGTTCGAAACTACCAGCTGCTCCGCGGGAGAAAGATGAGGCTTTCTACTCCCGTAAAGATTTACACCCTCGGAAACCCTGTACAGGGTCGCTATGGGTCGGAACTGACTCGACGGCACTTAACAACAACAACATATAACAGTTGTGATTTGGGAGGAATAATGACTTGTTTTCAGATATAAAATGGAGACAATGATATTTATTTATCTAGGTTTTGAAGAGTAAAATGACAATTGAAAATTCTAGCTCATTTCCATTAAAAATAATTTGTATAGCCATGGTTCATTGCATACCACAATTTAACTGTTTTATTATAGAGTATCTCAGAGTCCCAGAAGCCCTGGTGGTGCAGTGATTAAGGTACTTGATTGCTAACCAAAAAGTTCGTATTTTGACTCTACCAGCTGCTCCATGGGTGAAAGATGTGACAGTGTGTTCCTATACAGATGCTTGTTAAGTGCTGTTGCATCACTTCCAACTCACATCGACTCTGTATATGGTTTCTGAGGAGTGGCTGGTGTGTTTGAACTGCCTACTATGCAGTTTAAACAGACCTTGCTGCCCAGTGCTCATCATACAGTGCTACACTAGGACTCCTTAGGAAGCATACTCTTGAAAATCCTACGGGGTGGTTCGACTCTGCCTTATAAGGTCGCTGAGTCAGATTTGAATTGAGGGTAACCGGTTTATCTCATAGTCAGCGATAAATAAACCTTAGTATTTTGACTCATTCCTCTCCCCCCCAATGAAATATTTGCTGATCACAGTCCCAGGTTGCATATTCTTTTAGTTGACACACTCATACGTGGAGATCAAATGTGAAGTGTGAGGCAGTCTTTGTTGCTTAACTGCTATGCCAATCTGGCTTTAAACCCTGGATTCAGAGCTGGCTTTCCAGGAATGAACCATTATTCTTGGATGGTTCCCTAACAATGTGTATTTTTCTATATCACTTTATTTCTCTTGAGCCAGCTTGCTTGCATCCTCTCCCAAAGTCAATTCCATGTTTACTCAAGCTCTCTAATCTGCTTTTTTATCTGTAAAGGAAAGATTTTTTGGTTCATCTCAGGTCTTCTTATGCAACAAGGTAAGACAGTGCTTTTGTTCGATGCCGTCGAGTTGGCCTCCACTCAGTGATCCAAAGAACAGAACACAGTTGGTCCTGCACAGTGCTCACAGTCATTGCTGTGTTTGCGTCACTGTGTCAGCCCATTTTGTTGAAGGTCTTCCTCTTGTTTGCTGACACTTTACCAACCATGATGTCCCTTTCTAGGGACTGGTCCCTACTGATAACATGTCCAAATTATGCCAGGCAAAATCTCTCTATCCTTGCTTTTAAGGAGCATTCTGACTACTTCTTCCAAGATAGATTTGTTCACTCTTCTGGTAGTCCACGGTATATTTAATATTGTTCATTAACGCCAGAATTCAAAGGCACCAATTCTTTCGTTGTCTTTATTCATTGTCCAGCTTTTCACATGAATCTGAAGTGACTGAAAATACCATACATGGCTAGAGTCAAGCACACTTAAATCCTCAAAGTGACGTCTTTACTTTGCAGTTGATGTTGTTGAATGCCAATGACTCAGTTGTGATGCATAGTGAGAGACGCTGTATAGGGTTTCTGAGAAGTAGCTGGTGGGTTTAAACTGCTGATCTTGTGGTTAGCAGTCCAGTGCTTATCCTACACTACCACACCAGCACTCCTTTGCAAACCGTTGTTGTCATTAAGTGCCATTGAGTTGGTTCTGACTCATAGTGACCCTGTATAGGGTTTTCAAGGGGCAGCCGGTGGTTTTGAACTGCCAACTTTGTGGTTCGAAGTTTAGTTAGTGCTGATCCTACGACGCCACACCAGGAGTCCTTGCAAATAGTAGCAAGGAAAAATAAAGTAAAATAAAAAGGCAATATATACTGCCATTGAGGTGATTCTGAATCATCGTGACCTTGTGTAGGGTTTCTGATACTGGTGGGTTTGAACTCAATGCCTAATCCATGTAGCAATCAGGACTCCTTAAAAAGACAATTGTTGTTAAGTGCCATCAAGTTGGTTCCAACTCATAGTTACCCTGTATAGGGTTTCCAGGGAGTGACTGGTGAATTTGAACCACCGATTTTGTGGTTCAAACCAACCCTGTGGTCCAGTGCTTACCCTACAGCACCACGCCAGGACTCCTAAAAAGACAACAGAGCTATTAATTTGTTTTCCTTTGGAATGCCATTTGTCCACACAGTGTAGACTATGGAACCTCTTAGGAATATGTGCTTTTTAACTTCATTTGCCTGTGAATAATCATTGAAATGGTTTTCTTTTTTTAAAGACAAGCCACATATTTAACTTATTTATTCATCAAATACTTGTTGCTCATCTCCTCTGTCATAGTTAACTGTGTTAGATGATGGTTACAATGATGGCCCAACAGCCTCTACCTGTGTGGACATTGTCTAGAGGGAGAAGAAATAGTAACACTGTTCTGTTTGTAACGAAGTGGCTGAGGAACAAGCCTTGTTGTTGTTGTTGTTAAGTGCCGTTGAGTCGGTTCCGACCCATAGCGACCCTGTACAGGGTTTCCGAGGGTGTAAATCTTTACGGGAGTAGAAAGCCTCATCTTTCTCCCGCGGAGTGGCTGGTAGTTTCGAACCGCTGACCTTAAGGTTCGCAGCCCGATTTGTAACCACTACGCTACCAGAGCTCCTTGAGGAACAAGCCTTAGAGTCTGGTATAAATAGGTCTCTCTTGTCCTTTATTTTTTGGAGGGCTTTGAAAATAGCTATCTTAATTTAATGTAGAGAAATTTGGGTACAAATGAATCTAAAAGAAAGTCTAGCTATTCAACCTTCCCAAAGATTTTTTATTATACAGTTTCACAATTTTTACTGGATGACTTTGAGAATCGTAGATATAAAGGACTCTCCAGTACAACCTTCTGATTAAAAATAGGCAGGCAATCAAACACAATTATAGACAAGCCCAGCAAGGGAGAAATGATCCCAACCGAGCTGGTTAATAGAGATGGCAATCTGGATAATTTGCTCCTACAGTACAGCTCAAAAAGAGATGTGCTTTAGGCAAATATATAGTCTCACCCTCTCTTTTTTGCTGTTGTGTATAGAAAACCGTATATGATATCGCTTAAGAAATTTGATTCTCATATAAGTCAAGTCATAACTGACACATTTTGAGGCAATATTTACCTAGTATCTTGGAAGAGGAAAGTAATTTAAATAAAGCTATTATTAAGGCTACCTCACCACTTTGTTGTTGTTGTTAAGTGCCATCGAGTCGGGTCCGACCCATAGCGACCCTGTACAGGGTTTCCGAGGGTGTAAATCTTTACGGGAGTAGAAAGCCTCATCTTTCTCCCGCGGAGCAGCTGGTAGTTTCGAACCGCTGACCTTAAGGTTCGCAGCCCGATTCGTAACCACTACGCTACCAGAGCTCCTTTTACCTCACCACTAGTACTAATTATATTGAGTGTTGAAGAGAATTTAGTAATGCTTGAGGTACATTCAACATTGGTCACTTTCTCATCCTTCCGTATGCTTTTAAGCATGTCCAGTAAAGATTAATTGTTAGGAGATAATTTCATACTATGCTTTTTACTAAGAAGCTTTCCTATATACTTAAGCTATGATTCTAAACCTTTATTTTAGCGATCATGCTTGTTGAGTGGCAGTGAAATTTACTTTGGCAAAGTGATGAAGATATAATGGATTTTTAAAAAGAGTTCATTTTTTATAGTTATTTCAGAGGTTCTCCCCAAGAATACAGAATGCAAACACAGTGTCCACTTTGCCAATATTTGTAATAACAATAACATTAATTATGTAATAATAACATTAGCTAACATGTCTTGCATTCTGACTATGTGCAAGGCAGTGATAAATGCTTTGTGTTTATCATGTTTTCTTTTCTCAAGATGGCTTTAGCAAGGGGCATCCTTCCTGTTTAGCTTATGGATGTAAAAACCGAAGCTTAGAAGTTAAAGGTTTTGCCCAAGATTACAAAGCTAGTATAAAATGTGAGCCTAGGTCTTCTAAATGTTGAACCCTATGCTCTAACCATGGATTCCCTGGATGGTACAAATAGTTAATGTGCAAGGCTGGTAACCAAAAGTTAGAGGTTTTATTCTGCCCAGTGGTCCCGTGGATGAAAGGGTTAGGTACCTCTCTACTTCTGAAAAGTCAGCATAGTTCTGACACTGATGGGGTCATTACGAGTTGGAATTGCAACTATGATGCTGCACCATACTGCAGAACACAAACTGAGCTCTTTATATATCACATCCTCATTCAAAGAGGCTGGCTCATAAACAAATCAAGTCTTTATGTTTACGAATTCCTGATTTCTTCTTCTTCCTAACTGCTCTATGTGTGTGGAGATTTTCCATCCTCCCCATAACAATATGGATTGTGGGCTCTGTAATCTTTTAAAATGCTTGGTTTTACTCCTCATTTACCTAAAGTATTATATCTCTCAGCAAGCAAAGTGACCCATTTGAAAAAATTCCTTGGAGGCGTAATGAAAGAGTAAATCATTTATGGACATGCCGTTGGGTTGTGGCAGTATGTGTACATATTTTTCTTGATAACAGTTTTTTTTTAAATGTACTTGTGTTTAGTTCTGCGAGGGGGTCCGCTCACTGGAAGCTACAGACTCCGACAATTCCACCTTCACTGGGGGTGCGCTGATGACCACGGTTCTGAGCATGTGGTAGATGGAATGCGATACTCCGCAGAGGTAAATTATCGGCTGTATCTCAGGATTTTCCAACATGATGGGATTTAAGGGACACTGAGGGCATCTCTAAGGACCCCTGAAGGTGCTGTGGGTTAGGCATTGGGCTTCTAACCACAAGGTCTCTGATTCAAAACCCACCAGTTACTCCCCAGGGGAAAGATGAAGATGTCTGCGCCCATAAAAAGTTTACAGTCTCAGAAACCGTATAAAGAGTCATGGTCAGTCGGAATTGACCCAATGCCAGTGGATGAGCAGACAGCTCAAAGAGCTCTGGTAGTGCAGTGCTTATGCACTCTGCAGCTAAACAGTGGTCAGCAGTTATACCCAGCAGCTGCATCTCAGGAGAGTTACAGTCCACTTCTGTAAAGATTTATTGTTGTTGTTAAGTGCCATGGAGTCAGTTCCGACTCAAGGTTTCTAAGGAGTAGCAAGCCTTGTGGTCAACAGTCCAGTGCTTGTCTTACAGCTCCACACTATAAAAATTACAACCTTGAAAACTGCATGAGGCAGTAATGTGCCATGGAGTCGGTTCTGACTCATAGCGACCCTGTACAGGGTTTCCGAGGCTGTAAATCTTTATGGGAGCAGAAAACCTCATCTTTTTTCCATGGAACAGCTGGTAGTTTCAAACTGCTGACCTTGCGGTTTGCAGCCTGATTCGTAACCACTGCGCTACCAGAGCTCCTTGAGGCAGCTCTGCTCTCTTATATATTCATTATAAATTAGAATTGAGTCATCGACAGTGGGTTTGGATTTTTCAGTCTGGGGACAGCCCCCTTGATATCAAATAGATGTTGAGCTAATAGGTGTCTCAGTGTCTGAAGTTCCTTTATTCATTCACTAACAGTTTATCAGTATAATAGTTTTAAATGTGAACCTTCTAAGCCTTAAACTCATGCTGAGATGAAGGATTATTCTCATTAAAGAAATGTGTAAACTGTGGATTTGAAGAGATTAAGTAATTTATCTAACTAGGAAGCAATTGAGATAGTTTTAAACTCAGGACTGTGTGATACCAAATTATGAACTTTTACTAAAATATCAGTAAAAGATATTTTAGTAGATATCTTTTACTGATATTTTAGTAAAAGCCCAGTGTGAAAGGAAAGAAAGAAATGTTTGTTTTAGGCCCAACTGTGAATAATTCTGGTCCTGACACAAATATACTGTAATATTATATAAAGTTCGTATTTAAGTAGGTGACAACAAATGGCAAAGATTCACTTCTTAGGGGATAAACAAACAAATAAGCAAAACAAACAGACATAAATTCTCCTAAGCTGAACACGATGGCTACATTTCCAAGTATAAATGGAATCTCTGTCAATTATTCAGGTCATTGCTGGAGCATAGTACAGTGAGCCTTTAATAACCTGTTTCTTTTTCACTGGAATGTGGTTCCTTTTTAATGGTAATTATATTCATTAAGTATGCTCTACTTTTTAAAATCCTTTAGTTAAAGGATAATAGTAACATGCTTCAGGTTATAATATGACTAAATGTTGCTAATACCCAACTTTACCATGAGATGAAGGAGAATTATTGTAGGACTCACCCAAAGCTAACTCAAGTGAAAATAATTTGGTAATGACTCGTCCTGTGGGGGCAGAGCCATGTTACCAGGTGAGGACAGTTTTTCTCATTTGGTTATTGTATTGTGGGGTTGTAAATCCCTTTACAGCCTAGCAGGGAGCATTGCTGGTGATGTAAAATACACACTGGAATGCTGGGCACAAAGTTGACAGTTCAAACCCACCAGTCACTCCTAGGGAGATAAATGAGGTGTTTTGCTTTTGTAAAGATTTACAGTCCCAGAAACTGTAGACATGGGATGCTGAGTTGGACTGGACTTGATGGCACTGGGTCTGGTTAGTTTGATTTATGGTTCCATGAACATGTACAGGTGCCCTTTGAGGCTGTTCATTTTGCACATCAAAATAGTCTTGTTTGAGGCCAACTGCATTCTCAATTGAATAATAAAAGGTACACACAAAGTGTTCTGGGGTGGTGGACAAATGGACAAAAGATGCCGAGAATGAGAATGTAGAATGAAGGACTTTTGAATCAGTTTACGTCATCTACTGAATTGTTCTCATGCTAGCTTGTAAACATTGTTTGCCGCTGGATTTTAACACGTTCTAAATTTTGAAAGCTCTGTGGAGATTAAGAACTTGTTGGTTTGAATCATTACACTGTAATTTCCCTAAGGAACTCTGGAAAATTGTTCATATTGCTTTGCAGTTCACACCTTATGCTTTCATAAACTTGAAAGTATACTCTTACAGAAGCTTATTTTCAGTTGACAAGTAGTTTTCTGAAAAGAACCCTCATATCTTGAAGTCTGGTAGAGAATCATGAGTCCTGAACTCCCAAGCAAAGGGCCATTTCTATCAATTTCCCTTCTTGAAGCAGATAATTCTTTGTCTGGCGTTTTATATTCTTCTTTACTGTTTATTTAGGGTTGGTTTTTTTTTCTCATTTGATCATGCATGATTCATTTATTCATTCACTCTTTGAGAACTCATTGAGAGCGTACCATGTTCCAGATCTCTGCCCAGTATACTCACACTCATCCTGAAGGCAGTGCGGGAAGTAAGGATGCCACGAGTCCCCATAACTATGCAGCCTAACAGACTCTGTGGCCAGGACACATCTCTTTAGGGAAGAGCCTTTAAGCCTAGCATTAAGGGCGAGCAGGAATGCATCAAGGAAAGAGGAGAGAGAACTGTGGTTCTTCATAGAACCATGGGGAAGGTCTTGGGGTAAAAGAATACCATACATATTAAGAAAAGCATTACTAGTATGATTATAACATGGAGAACAAAGGGGAGAATTGTTGGGAAAGGTTGGAGAGGCCAAGGAGGGTGTGATTCTAAGGTAAGCATATTGCAGATCATGAACTTTATTCTGGGTGCAGTGGAAAGATACTTAATGGTTTTGAACTGGGAATGATCAGATTTGCATTTAAAAAATATCATTGAGGCTATAGTTTGAAAATAGATTAGAGTGAAGAAAGTGGAAACGGGTAGCCAGAATGGAGGCTTTGGGGGGGAAGTCACAGGTGATAGATGATGGAGGCTTGAACTATAGTGCAGGTGGGAGACTGGAGGGGTAGAAGTGGCACTGGTCGATTGGATTTGAAAGGAAGACAGGAGAGGAAAGGAAAAGTGGAGTTTTTTGTGTGTGAGATAGGAGATGCTGATGGAAGAGGAAGACCTCAGGGTTAAAGAGGTGTCAGGGATAGGCAATAAACAAGTAAGTAGGAAGTGTTAGAGAGTGACTGAGTGCTTTGTTGTTGTTGTTAGGTGCCATCGAGTGGGTACCAACTCACAGCAACCTTATGCACAGCAGAACGAAACACTGCCTGATCCTGGGCCAACTGAGTACTTAGGAGAGGCCTTTTTGTGGTGTTACTTGATTTGAGACTGAATGACAAGAAGCCAGGAGAAAATTGAGGGAGAGTTTCCTAGGACGTGGGATGAACATATACAAACACTTGATAGGTAGGAATGAAGTTGGCATGTTCAAGAACTTGATAAGACAACAGAGTGACAGGCGGTATCCTGGAGAGTCAGACAGTGGCCATACCATGTCAAGCATAGTGAGGAATGGATTTTCCCTCTAACAAAGTTGGAGGAAGACAAGAGGAATGACGTGTTCTATTCTGTAGTTTGTAAATCCTGACTACCAGCGCTGTGGGTTAATGCGCCAGACTGCAAAGCCATTTGAACTACAAGGTCAGTGGTTCAATCTCACCAGCTGCTCCTTGGAAACCCTAGACAGGGTCACTATGGGTCGGAACCGGCTCTATGGCACTTCACAACAACAACATATAGAGAATATGTTGTCATGTGCAAAAGTTGAAGCAGGGAGATGAATTAGAAAATTGTGGAAGTAGTTTAAGTAGGAAGTGATGGTAATTTGGACTATAAGGGTAATGGAAATAAGAGAGCTAGACAGATCCACGATATGCTTAGGAGGTAGTCACTGGCATTTGCCAAAGGAAATGACGTCAGAAATGAAAGCAGGATAAAAGAGTCTAGTAGCAGTTCAAAACTACCAGTTATTCCATGGGAGAAAGATACGGCTTTCTGCGCCTGAAAGATTTACAGCATCAGAAAGCCTACACTGGGTCACTGTGAGTCGGAACCAACAACACAGCGTACCACCATCATCACCACCAGTAGCTCATCCCAGATTTTGGCTTGAGTAACAGGAAGGATGGTTGTGCCATTTACTGAGATGAGAAAGTTCAGGTGCAGGTTTTAGAAAAGAATTCTTTGTGTTTTGGACATGTTAACTTTGAGAAGCCCATTAGACATTCTAGGCTCTCCCTCAAATAGGCTGTTAGATATGCAAAGTTGGGGTTTAGCAAAGGGATCAGAACAGCAGATGGAAGAATCACTTGCATCTGGTGTTAAATTCAAAAGAATCCTTTTGCACTCACAAATAGAATTGATTCTAAGGCGTTAATTTTTCCATCCACTTGTGTACCCAATTTCATGACCATTAGCAAATGGTATCCTTTTAAAAAATAAGAAGAAAGCAAGGAAAAGCATTTAAAGCTGTAATACATAAAACGTTACTTTTTGAGCTAACCTGATGACGTAGCATTACAGAGACAAATTAAAATGATCTGAATCATGGAAACTTAAAAAAAAACAAACAACTTTTTACTGTGAATTGATTGAAGTTTTACAGAGCAGATCATATTTTATACTCAACAAATCACACACTTCATTTCATCTCACTGATTGCAGTTCCCTCAATGTAGCATCACTTATCCCACTTCCTTCCTCTGTTTCTTGCTTTCATTTCTCCTTCTTTCCTAAATCTTATGAATTTTGTCCTTAGGTAAATGCTGCCTTTTGCTCTCAAATGGTTGATCATCTTATGGTGTGGCGTGCATACCTCTCTGGTGGTGTTGTCCCCTCTATGTACCTATCTATTGCCTGGCTGAAAATTGAACCACAGGAGTGAGTTCAGTTCCAGACCTTGGGGTTCTACCAGTCTCTGTCTGACCAGTAGTAAACCTGGTCTTTTTTTTACGATTTTGAGTTTTGTCCCACATTTTCTCCCATTCTATATGTTGTTGTGTTTGTTAAGTGGTGTCGCATCAGTTCCAACCCCTAGCGACCTTGTATAGGATTTCCTAGGAGCATCTGGTGAGCTTGAACCACCAACCTTCCAGTTCAAAAGGCTTTGCAGTCTGGCACATTAACCTACAGCACCACACCAAGACTCCCACTCTATATAGTTATGTGCCTGATGTCGGTTCCGACTCATAGCAACCCTGTACAGCGTTTCCGAGGCTGTAAAACTTTACGGGAGCAGAAAACCTCATCTTTCTCCCACGCAACAGCTGGTAGTTTCAAACTGCTAATCTTGCGGTTCACAGCCCGATTCGTAACCACTACGCTACCAGAGCCCACTCTATATAGAACTGTCTAATGTGATCTCTTTCAGAGCTGTTGGTAGTGGGAGCCGAATCTCAGGGTCACGAAAACTGATGTTCTATGGTCCATTAGTCTTTGGACTAATTGTTTCCAAGTGTCTTTAATTTTCATCATTCTTCTTCCTCTGGTCAGGCAGAGGCCGATCAATAGTGGCACCTTAGATGCCGCATGTTGAGTTTATAAGATCCTAGTCACTGCTCACCACAGTAGGATATAAAGCATTGTCTTTATGGACTATGTATGCCAACTGATCTTGGTGCTCCCAAGACCATAGTCCTGAGCCCCCAGCAACTCACTGCCTCAGGGTGTTTTGTTATGTCTAAGAAGTTTTCATACTATTATTCCCCTATATACTCTATCACACTGAATCATGAAAAGTGTAATTCCAAGAGCTGTACATGTACAAAAAACTAGGCTAATAGTCCACCCTATATTTAAACTTTTATCTGATTACAGAGTATAGTGATTATGTAATAAGCATTTAAATATGTGTTTGGTAGTTAAACAATGATTTCAGCATTAGCAGTGAGTTTTTGGCATAATAAGCAAATTTCATGTATCACAAGTATGAATGTTGAAAATACTAATATTATTTTGAAATTATTTTCAATAGAAAAGAATCTAATTTCCATTTTTGTCGTGGCCATAATGGATTTCTTGCCATTCATCTCAAATCATGGCTCCTGCCTTTCTTACTTAGGAAATGAGGTTGCCATTGGTTTGTTTGTGTTGCAACCGTTTCATGACCTGTGGGATGTATGTAGCCCACCAACGTCTTCAACCTCACAAGTTTCTTGGGAAATTTCTACTATTATAACTACAGTGTGTGCTACTACCTGACAGGCACCTATATAATTGTGTAAATCTCAAGAAATGGGCCTCACCTCACCAACCCCAGCACCAGAGTTCACTTAAGACATTATGTGTCCCACATAATTGCATCAAAATCCATATTATCTCAAAAATAAAAGCTTTCTCCTTTATTTCAGTATGCCTTCCATTACTGAAAACATGTGGAATCAACAACAACAACAAATTCAAAGTAGAAAATGATTTGGTCATGAAAGGATTAATTCAAGTACAAAGAAAGTGATTTAGTTCCTCTGACAGTATTGATGCCAGTTAATAAATATGTGTGGGAGAGAGGAGGCCTTGTTAAAATAAAAATCAGAGGAAAAGAATCCCAGCCAAAAAAAAATTGTAGATGCACTTCTTGAGTTGTACATTCTTTCTCTACTCTGTTGTTATTGTGACCCTGAAGAAGTTGCTTCACGTCTTTCTCTCTGTGGTTTTATCTCTTGCTAAGTGCATTGGTGCATGGGCAGTGAGCCATTTCAAACAACCTTCACATCTTCTCAGCCCCTCCCATACGTACTGGGGAGTGTCACCGGCCTCATGGGAGTCAAACGAATCTTTGTTTCATCATCTGATGTTTTCAGGTTTCTTTCCTCTCCCAACTCTCTCATACTTAGAACCCAGGACCACAGGAATTCACTTTCCTATTTTCCATCTGGATAGCCCACAGTCTTATTTATTTGTGGATGATGCTGTTTTATAATTTTATGGTTGACTGTTTCTAATAATTTTGCTATGCAGAAGTCTCTCCTCCTCATATTAATTGCCTGTCAGATGTGAAGTTATATTTAAAGGATGAGATAAAACCATGTGCTTGAATATACTATTTTGCAACAGTCAGCTGAATGAAAAACAAAAACCCAAGTCCCATCAAGTTGATTCTGACTCAGCAACCCCATGAGTGCCACAGTAAAATTATCCTCTATAGGGATTTCAAAGGCTGGGTTTTCTAAAGTAGATCACCAGACCTTTCTTCTGAGATGCATTTGGGTGCACTGAAACCTCCAACCTTCCAGTTAGCTCTGTGTATACCACCCAGGACTACATACTGTCAATCAGAAGGACAATTTAGACGCAAGTTTCATCTCTTAGTGTTTCATCTTTGATGTTCCACAAGGATTCATTAGAAGGAGATCTTATCTGAAGTTGGTCTCAAATGTGGTCTCAAGTGGACAGCATGACTTGGATGTCACCATTTACCATTTTAATCAAACATTTTGGGTGTGCCATGTGGCCTTTTGGAGCCCTGGAACAGCTGGGCTGCTGTTCAAAAGCTCTGCGGTTCAAACGTGCCAGCGACTCCTCGGAAACCCTATATGGGGGCGCTATGACGTGGGACTGACTAAACGGCACTTAACAACAACAACAATGCCAACATGGCCATTTGCTTCTTTCTCAGTTCTCTTTCCCTTCACAAAGACTGAAGAGTCTCCTAAAGTGGCTGTGCCTTAGTGCTCTTTTGCAGTCTTTCAGATTTGTTTGTGTGTTTGGGCCACTATCTTTATTATGCTAGAGCATTTGGGACATCATTGGTTTTTGCAGAAGGTGGCTTGAATGAGAGTTGTGAAGTGATTTAGAGTTACACCCCATCCCTCTTCCTTTCAATAGCATAGCCTGTCTTTATTTTCTGCCTCAGACCCTGAAGCATCCCATTAAAAATTGCTCTTAGCAGAGGATCTGAACACATTCGTGTTACTGATGTTAAGTCGGTTCCAACTCCTAGGATTTCCAAGGAGTGGCTGGTGAGTTTAAACTGCTAACCTTACGGTTCAAACTGCCCTTTCGGTCCAGTGTATTATCCTGCAGCGCCAAAATAGGACATTATAAATGTGTGAATCATGCTTGAAATAGTTACTTTTAATGAAAATTTACATTTTCAAGCCATAAAAATCAAACTGTAACAGTAAACACCCAGTAGAAAGTGTGCAGAACTGGTCCTGAAATAGCCCTTGAAATTGTCCCTGAAAACCTACTGTGTGGTGTTGTGTGCCAGGAGGTCAATTCCAACGTATCATGAACCTATTGGACAGGGTAGAACTGCTCCATAGGGTTTCCTAGGTTGTATTCTTTACCGGGAGTCTTGGTGTGGTGCTGCAGGATAATGCACTAGACCGCAAGGTTGGTGGTTCAAACCCAGCCGTTCCTCGGAAACCCTAAACAGGATTCACAAGGTTCTCGTGAATAATACATTATACATATGCATGGGCAAGACCAAAACATCTGTATAAATGTTTTATTTGCATTTATACTTTTCAAGATCGAAAAATGTTTTTATAAATTATATTGTGCATCTTAATTTCAGCTCCATGTTGTTCACTGGAATTCAGACAAATATCCCAGCTTTGTGGAGGCAGCTCATGAACCTGATGGACTAGCTGTCGTGGGAGTATTTTTACAGGTAAGAGTGAACTGATGACATTTAAAATAATTAGTCAGCTATTTTGGATAAAGAGTTTCAGGTATGGAGTAGACAGCCAATCATTTTGTTAATAGTAAACTAGTTTGGGGTTTAATGTTTTTCTTTTGAAGTTAGTAGTAAGAATTTATGGTTCATCTCAGGGCCTATGATATATTGTTTTATGATTTCTTTTATTACAGATTGTTCATTTTTATATGTGTAGCAACAGTAGCAACAAGAACAACAGCAATAGCAGCAGAAGTAATAGCTGAGCTCCTGAGGTGGGAGCTGGGGAGGGGGGGCAAAAAAACATTTATTCTAGCCTCTTCCTGATTACACAATATTTAGTGAGATAGGAAAGAATAAAGTTCAAACGTATGGTTCTTGAGGCACCAGTTTGCACACTATGGCTCGTTCCCACAAATACTGACTAATTTTTAAAATTTAGTGTCTTGTTGTATTTCCCTTTGTGTAATACTGGTAGGTGGTCAAACAGGTATCATTGTGCACCATAGGCAGTTTGGGCTGCTCAACTCCCACTGTGACCACATTCTTGTAGGGCGTGTTTATTTACCATGTTACATACCTCTCTGGGTGGTGTTGTAACTGCTGGAGCTAGGACCTGAAGAAGCCTAGAGCAGAGGTGGAGAGTGACGTACACAGCATTAATCCCTTCCCTCTGGCCTCCAAGACTGAGTGGCGTCAGTGTGATGCAGGTGGGACAAGAGATTTCACTGTGTTCTCAAGTATACAAAAACTTCAGGTTGATTTAGGAAATCTAAAATAATGAAAAGAGTTACGTCTAGTAAATCCTGTTAAAGCCAGAATTTGTGTAAGGCTGAAACCTGTCAGAGAAGAAGAATTCAATTATTTTCCAGCAACAGTAAACAATAGAAATGTGGTAAGACTGAACCCTGTCAAAGACAGAAAACCTGAGAAGACCAGAAGGCAGTCTCATTGAGTACCAGCCCTCACAGGTTTCACTGTATAGTCTTCTGAGGAGTTCTTTATTGGGGCCTAATTGTTTTAGGCTAAAGATGCGAGATGTTTGGCCTAATGTTTTGAAGCCACTATAGCCAGTCTAGGTGGTGTAAGTGGTCAAAGTACATGACTGCTAGCCGAAAGGATGGAGGGTCGAATTCACCCAGAGGTACCGTGGAAGAAAGATCTGGCAATCTACTTCCAAAAAATCAGCTGTGGAAAACCTAGGAAACACATTTGTACTCTGATACAAATGGTGTCACTATGTGTTAACTTGATGGTGACTGGTGATGGTGGTCATAGCCAGTTTGGACCGAGAGTCTGAAAGTCACATCTGGCTTAATAAAGCATGTTAGTGTTCGTAAACAGGGTTCCTCTTAAAGTAGCCTATGTCTGAAACATTTATAAAACTGAAAACTATGAAGCTGTTACTACTAGTTTTGGATTCCTAACGGACAGTTCAGTAATATGATCTTGTTGTGCAAATTCTTCTGACGTGATAAAGCCAACAGGTAAAAGAGAGCTTTGTTATAGAACAATCACTCTTTGTTCTGGGTTGGATTCGCTTTTAAAACTATAATGAAAAGACAGTGATTGAAATGTAGTGGTTTAGATCAAATCTCCTACAGTAACAATTTTCTTTCATTTTTCAGATTGGTGAACATAATTCCCAACTGCAAAAGATTACTGATATTTTGGATTCCATTAAAGAAAAGGTAAAATGAATATTATTTGCTAAGTCTGGCACTGTAGGATAATAAACTGGACCTCAAGGTCGGTTTGAACCCCAAGGTCAGTGATTCAAACTGGACAGCTATTCCTTGGAAACCCTATGAAGGGTCGTTATGAGTCGGAACTGACTCAATGCAATGCTTAATAATGACCAGGTAATGTTTCATTCTAAGGAGCTCTGGTAGCATAGTGGTTACGAATCGGGCTGCGAACTGCAAGGTCAGCAGTTCGAAACTACCAGCTGTTCCATGGGAGAAAGATGAGGCTTTCTTCTCCTGTAAAGATTTACAGCCTCGGAAACCCTATACAGAGTCGCTATGAGTTGGGACCGACTCCACGGTGCATAACAACAACGTTTCATTCTGTTGTATGTGAGTCAGAACCATCTTTATAGCACTTAACAGAAAAAGGTCAATATATTCCTTAAGGAGCCCTGGTAGCACAGAGGTGAAGTGCTTGATTGTTAATCAACTTGTCGATTCAAACTTCTCAGCTGCTTTGTGGGAGAAAGATGTGGCAGTTGCTTCGGTAAGGATTGCAGTTCTTATGGGGCAGTTCTATTCTGTTCTATAGGGTCACTATGAATCAGAATTGATAGCAAAGGGTTAATATATTCCTAGAACTCTTCTCTTTTGAACTCTCTTACCTTTATTTAAAATCTAAGATCTCAGACATAAGCTTATGCTGCCTGCTTTGATGCTGAAGCAGGCTTGGCACATACCGGGTCAATAGATCAGAAGTAATTTACTATCACGTTTTGAAAATTATGAAATGTCTTAAATTAGCTACAGTTTTTGTTGTTGTTAGTTGCTTTCAAGTGGCCTGTGACTTGTGGAGACCTGTGCACAATGGAACAAAACATAACCAGGCTCTGCGCCTTCACCATGATTGGTTGGAAATTGAACTGTTAGGATCCCTAGGGTTTTCATTGGATGCTTTTTTTTTTGCAGTAGCTTGCCAGACTTTTCATCCTGGCCTGCCAATCTGGAAGCTGTATGGTGGTGGTAGTTGTGTACTACTGACCCATAGCCACCCTGCACTGGGTTTCTGAGGCTATCAATCTTATGGGAGCAGAGAGTGTCGTCCTGCATTCAGCATCATAGCAACACGAAACCCACAACTGACAGGATAGCTGCATTGGCTGGAACTTGAGTTGGGTGGAAGGCAAGGATTCTAGTGAACCACCAATGAATGTTTTCTTATCAAAAATAACCACGAGTAAAGTCTCTTCATGCATAATTAGTTTTTGGTGTTGGAATCTTTCAAAATAAATCTTTAATTGTAACACATTTTAAAGAACAATTACATTAAAACAAATTATCTTTCTTAAATCTAAATAATGTAGTATTGCTATTTTTAAAAAAGCAGATACTTAATAATTCCATGTTATTTCATTGATGTATGTTTTTTGAGGTGTTTAGAAAGCTGCACTCCTGTAATTTGTGGGAATTTTCTTTTTCCTCCCCTAGGGAAAACAAACTCGATTCACAAATTTTGATCCATTATCTCTGCTTCCTCCATCCTGGGATTACTGGACGTATCCTGGATCCCTCACAGTCCCACCTCTTCTTGAGAGTGTCACTTGGATTGTTTTAAAGCAACCTATAAATATCAGCTCTCAACAGGTACGTCTTTCAGACTGATCCTGGCTGGATCTTGAAGCTTGTATTTTCCCTTCATTAATCATTAATGGTTGGTTGGATCAGATGAGATTTATGTCCCTTTTTTATGTGAGCTTCTAGGGTGAGCTGATTTCTTTCCCAGTTCTTGTTGTTGTTAAGTGCTGTTGAGTTGGTTCTGACCCATGGTGACCCTGTATACCTTGAAATGCCGACCTTGCGGTTCAGACCGATTTTGCAGTCCAGCACATTAATCCACAGCGCCACACCAGGACGCCTTCTAGTTCTTAGACTTGGAAATTTAATGTGCACACAGACAATGATGAAAGTGAAGCACCATGTTGGACAGTATAATTGTTCGCTTTTACTTGGTCTGGGACATACTCAGGCAAAATCTTGATGGAGGCTTCTGTTGGAAGGTCACAATCTTCTTTCCGGTTTCAGTCCCCAGACTTGCTCCTCCCACTGATTTCACATTTGGAAAGTGAGCAGGGATAGGCAAAGTGTCCTCAGAAACCTGTCAGCCTGCAAAACCCTCGCTGCATTAGTTTAGAACCTATGTGGGGTGCCTGAGGGGTTTTTAATCATTTGTTGAGTGGCTGTGGGTGGTACCTATGCTATTCTAGTGAAGACATTTACTTAGTTCTGGGTTCTCCTAAGTGCTACAGAGTCCCTGTGGTTAAGTCAAGCCTCTGATAGGTTTGTTGTTGTTGTTAAGTGCCATCGAGTAGGTTCCAACTCGTAGTGACCATGTATAGGGTTTCCAAGGAGCTGCTGAGTTTGAACTGCCCATCTTGTGGTTCAAACTGACCTTGAAGTCGAGTGCTTATCCTATGGTGTTACCAGGGACTCCCTGATAGGTTTAGGGTATCTTCATGCTCAGAAACTCTGCTCAGAGTTCTGGAAGACATGCAGATGGATCTACCTGATCTCGTGATGTTATGTGCTGTATTTTTTAGTGGGTTGTGTTTTGTTTTTGGCTTTCTGTTTTTCTTTCTTCGAATAAGGTGCTACAGTATTTTACCAAGAATGTAGTCTAGTGTTTTTTGTAGTGAATAAAGTACTTCTGTTCTTCACTTGCCCACTTGCTTAGCTGTTGATGTTTTCCCCAAATTCAAAGGCTAGGACTGCTTCAATTTATTACAAAGATCTTGTCAGGTAACATTTCCCCTTAGGATGTTGAATATGCTCAGCCTTCTGTTGGCTATTTCTCAGAATTCTATTGACGTCTTTAGGATTCAAGGCAAATAATAATCTGGGATATACTTATTAAAATATTTGATAGATGTCTAGATAGAAATCCAGAGCTTGACTGACATGAAAACTGTGAGTTTTTCTCCATCATAAGCCAGGCAAGTTTTATCATGAAGAAAAGGACCTGCCTTGTTAAAGGGAAAGACTGAGAAACTGTCTCCGGGCACTTGAATGAGATGATGCATCCTAGTCCAGACCTACTGTCTCTCTAAAAAATTGATAGGATGTAGCCTTATGAGGCACTATGAAATAAAGCACTGGACCACACGGTCAGTTTGAACCACAAGGTTGGTGGTTCAAACTTACCTGCTGCTCTTTAGAACCCCTATACAGGGTCGCTATGAATTGGAATTGACTTGGCAGTACTTAACAACAACAGGCGCATTATGCACATAAAAGGAGCCAGAGAGACAGAGGATTTAAAGCAAGCAGGAAGGTTTAATAAGAGAACAAAGACAAAGCATGGATGTTCTCACAGGGAGGAGAATGGGTTTTTACCTTACTTGTGAATGGGAGCCTTCAGCAGTCTTTTCTGATGATTTCCCCAGGTAATTAATAAGTCAGACTAGACTTTCAGGTTCTAGTTGGAGGGGTTTGGCTGCTTGTGTCTTGTCAGTGTCTCAGGATGTTTGTGCTTTTCAATCCCTGGATGACATCCTTTTTTGGTATTTCCTTTCTTGGGTCTTTTTTTTTTTTTTTTTTTTTTTTTATTGTGAATTCTGTGATAGTTTACATGGGAGAACATTAGTTTTACATTCATCCTATCGTATATCGTTTTCTTACCATGGTTACATCCACTCCATGCATTATCAACCAACCAAAGGGTTTACACTACAAGCCTGCACCGTGGTCATCAGCACACAGTTCCTCTCCTCTGGATCTAAAGTCCCCAACTGCTCCATCTTTCCACGTCTTCATATCTGCCTCCATCTTAGGCATTACTGCTTCTCTGGGTATGGTTCCACTCTCCGCTCTTCTCCCTTGATGGTCCCAGGGACCTCCACTCTTCCTTAATAACCCCTCCCCCTGTTATAATTATACTTGTGACCTAACCACATGCTGATTTATTGTTATGCTTCTGGGCGGTTTGCAATTTGGCCTTTCTATTCCTAATTTAACTACCTAACAATACGCAATAAAAGTATAATGAGACATGACTACAAAGTACAAGGGGACTTCAGAGAGTTCAGGAAATAATGGAATTAAAAGATATTGGAATTTTTCTGTGAAGTTTTTGAAGCTCCATTGTATAATGTGGTATTCCAGATGGATCCTGGAAGACAAAAAAAAAAAGACATTAAGTAAAAACTAAGGCAATCTGAATGAAGTATGACCTTTAGTTAATAATATGTATTTGGATTGGTTCACTAATGGTGACAAATGTAGAACTAATACTGGCATATTAGTAACAGGGGGAACTCAGGTGGGCTTACCGAAGTTCTTTCTAAGATCTTTGCAATAATTCTGTAAATCTAAAACTTCAAAAATTAAAAGATTTCTTATAAAATTCCCAAACAGGAAAGGGTTGATAAATTTTTCCAGTTGCTTAGCTCTTTTATATAAAGTCAATGGAAAAGATCTTTTATTTGTCCCACTGACTTAGTTATTTTCTAGAATACAATTTCACTTTCAATTATGGTGACTTTTTCTTTTCAAAGTCACAGAAGAACATGGCTTTTATTCATTCTCCATTTCCATCCTACATGCATGTCACTAGCTGTGAAGATTAAGATCCTTTTTTTAGTAAGTTGGTACTTCTCTTTTTCACTAAGACACTGTTTGACCTAAAGGACAAATCAGATGCTTTTTATTTTCTTTTTCTTGCTTCAAGTCCGCTTACTTGCCTCAGAGTCAGACAGGGTATAGTTCTTGACTGAATGGCCATGCCAATGAGCAGATATGCTGTTTCCTGATACTTTGGTAAAATTTGTCAAGTTGTTTTGGGTTATCTTAAATTATTTAAATTGCCTTGCTCAGTTGTTAAAATCCAATCTGTAATATACTTGCCTTTAATTCTTCTCTCTTTAAAAAAAGCTTATGATATTATCTGATTATGATAAATTAATGAGTTTTAGTGTACAGTTGATGCCTTTGGTAATTGTGCATAATTGCTCAACAACCAACATAATTAATTATGATACAGATGAACTCTCTTGGCTGGAAAACATTTCCTTGTGACGGTTTGCACCAGACAATCACTGACATGCTGTCATTAGAATTTTGCCTTTCCCAAAATTTCATTTAAGTGGAATCTGACTTGAATTCCTGGCAGTTCGATGTCGATCTACTGCTGCAGCTGTTTTTTAATTACCTTCAGCAGTTCAAACCCATCAGTCACTTCATGGAAACCCTATACCAGATCACTTTGAGTTGAAATAGACTCCAGGACATTAACAACAACAACCACATCTTTGACAACATTTGGGATAGACAGTAGTTTTAACTATAGATAGTCTAGTAGGAGCTCTGGTAGCATACTGGCAGCATAATGGATTACGAGTGGTCACTCTGTGGGAGAAAGATGAGGCTTTTTGCTCCTGCAAAGATTTACAGCCATGGAAACCCTATATAGGGTCACTAGGAGGGACCAGTCACTGGAGAAGGATATCATGTTTGGTAAGGTGGAGTGTCAGAGAAAAAGAGGAAGACCCCCAACGAGATGGATTGGCCAGGTGGCAGCATCGATGGACTCAAGTGTGGCAACAATTGTGAGGTTGGTCCAGGATTGGGCAGTGTTTTGTTCTGCTGTGCATAGGGTCCCTATGAGTCAGTACCGACTCTATGGCACCTAACAACAACAACAACAACAACAACAGGAGTCAGAACTTACTGGAGTTCACTTAACAACAAGTGTAGTGGTATCTCATTGTGATTTGAATTTGCATTTCTTTGATGACTACTAATGTTGAACGTCTTTTCATATGCTTATTTGCTTCTTTTGTGAAGTATTTGCTCATGTCCTGTGCTGGATTTTTAAAAAGTGAATTGTTAGTTTTTACATTATTGAGTTGCAAGAGTTCCATATATATTCTAGATAGCGTAGTGGTTACGAATCGGGCTGCGAACCTTAAGGTCAGCGGTTCGAAACTACCAGCCGCTCCGCGGGAGAAAGATGAGACTTTCTACTCCCGTAAAGATTTACACCCTCGGAAACCCTGTACAGGGTCGCTATGGGTCGGAACCGACTCAATGG